CCCCGCCCTACCCCACCGCGCCCTACGCCGCGCCACGCTTCGCCGCACTAGTAGTAAGCGCTGCTCCGCCTGCAGCCCAAGCTGGAATTCCCCCTGGCCAAACACTCACGCGCCACTCTGCTGGAGCCAAAGTCGAAGCAACAGCAGCAGCAGCGTTGGGGTTGGGGTGAGCAGGTATGGGCCCGGCCCGCCCGCCAGGACCTTCTGTAGGTGAATGCATATAGATATACTCACTCTGCCCCCCCAGCCCAGTCAGGGTCAGGTCCGGGGGGTTTGAATGACGGCGCAATGTGTTTGCTCAATAAAGGCGCAGGGCCTCGGAGGCCCGTGCGCGCAAGTCAGGTATTGACAGTCCGGCCTGTCTCTGTGGTCGATTGGTAACTGGGCCTCCCTGACTCGAAGCAGGCAAAGCCGCGCCAGCCCGGCCCCCGCGCCCCGCCCAGAGAAGGGCTCATGAGCAAACAGAACGGGGCGTGTGATCTGGAAAATCTTTTGTTTACTTTTCGATGGAAACGCGCACCCTACGGCAGTCTGTGAAATCCGCTTCGGCGATGGCTGTATTTCACTTGCATTTTTCATGTTATTTGTGTAAAGAAGTTTTTTAAAAGCTCCACTCCATTTTGAAATCTTTACTCTTTTCAACCCGCCCCTCTGCTTTGAAAAGGAAATGGGCGTCCGACGTCTGTCTGTGTCACGAGAAGGATATAAGCCAGAGATTTGTTTGCTTAAAGCTATTACAAACTTGTGCATGTACGTACAACATATTCCGATTTAATGTCGAGCCGTGATTCTCTCTCCCCCCCCCCTCTCTCTCTCTCGTACAAAAGAGACGCAAATGTCTCCGAAAACTTTCCAACTTCCCCGAAAAGGAAAAGGAAACATTTTCCCCTGTTGTTGGTTGACTCGTCTCTAGTGTGTCGTGCCGGTCCGCCCCGCCCCGCGGCTCTGCGTGCGTCGCCGGCCTCGACCAATTCACGGGGGGAGGACGCCCCTTGTGCAATGGCCTTCGCCCCGGACCTTGCGAAAAAAGGGGGAAAGCAGTACCTGCCGTGCTACGACCGCCTTTTCACGGAAAATAAACGAAAATAATTTCCACGTTGTCCAATTAAGTCGTAAAAGAATACATCCAAATCGGGAAATGGAAGACAAATTATGTCCGTGCATTTCAATGCATTTAAAGTTATGGGATGGCTGGTTCTGGTTAGTCCGTCCTATCCCCTATCTCCTTCTGAACACCTTGTCCAGTGCCTGCCTGACCCTGGACGATCTGACGCAACTCCTGCTGAGTCGGCCATATATAGACTTCGGTTTTAATCAAGTTTCCCTGCCTTTTTAAGGGGTACGAGTCGTGAAACGGGCCGCTTCGACGGGGTGCCTGCGCATCGACCGAGCCAGCAGGGCGGGGCGGGGCTTGGGTGTGTCGAGTAACTCCGCGGTTTCCTGGGTGGGACGAGGCGGGGCGGGCTGTGCCCGTGGGAGCCTGTCGGACTCGCGGCCCCGCCCCGCGCCTAGGCCCGCGTGACCTCTTGCCCTGATTTTTTTCCCTTTTGCTTTCTTTACTCGCTGAAAGCCTTTCTATACCATTCCAGGAGAAGGGGGCGGGGCAGTGCATCCCCCACTGCGTTCTAAGAAATGAACTTCACCCCTTCACCCCTTTCCCCCTCCCCCCAGCCATAAGAACTTCTCGGGATTCCAGAACGACCGCCATAGACGGATAGCTCGGCGAGTCCCCCAGACCGGAGCCGTAGCGTCATCACCGCCATTCCATCATCATGCCTGTGCGGAGAGACGTCGGGGTGACAGTCGTCATTTCGAAAATCATTTGATATCATTACATTGCAAAATGATAAACATCCGTAATCATTTCATTCGCTAATGATGGGTGACTATCTGGCACAGGGATGACACCGCGCGCTAGCCAAACGCAATGCAGGAAAAGCGTCCGTTTCCGTTTTGCCCCGAGTCTTCAGTGATTATGTATCTGGTAGTGTATATGGGAGGAGGGGCTGCTAGTCCAGAGAGGGGCCTCGCGGACCGGAAGACCGGAAGTGGTCCGATAACGAGTCCACTGAACTTATCTCCTGGAGGAAATGCTTGCGGTCGAGCCGGTCCAGTGGCCTACCCCCCCCCCCCCACACACACACACACATTCCCTCTCGCACCCGTTCCTGTAGCTCTCAGCTCCTCTCACTTGCCCAGAGATGCGATTTCCGTCCGCCGCCCAGCCCAGACAGACCCCAAGCTCCCCGCCCTCGTCGTCCTCGGCGTCCTGCTCGGCTCGGCGCGGGGGGGCCTCGGGCCTCCCCGTATCGGTCACGGCCGTGTCGGGGGGGGGGGGGGGTCCCCGCCCCCCAATGAGGCGCGGCGCCGCCCGCCCGGCCAAGGTTTTGATTGACTGCACAAGGACGCCGTCTTCCTCGATATAGGCGACGCGAACCGGCCGCGCGCAGCTCGATCAGAGAGAGAGAGGGGGGGGGGATACAGCAACAAGACGCAGGACGATGACGCATCCATTTCGCATTGGGAGTGCCACACCCACACGCACGTGTGTCAGGGTCAGGGGAGGTTTGCGAGGAGCCACCGCCCGGGCACACCTGCAGTGTGCCTCGGCATTGCTATGTGTTCCGGGGCGGCCTTTGGGGGCAGTGGGCTGGTGCTGGTGGGGCAGTGGCAGGGCAGGAGGAGGCCAGAGCCCGCCGCCGCCGCCGCCTAGGCTGCTGCCCAGCAGCACGGGTTAGCCAGACTAATCACAACGGGGGGATGGAGGGGGCGGGATAGTAGAGCTAGGAGGGGGAGGGGCACCCAGCCTCTCCCCACCCCAATCACCCCCTAAGTAGATGACGGGCCCCTGCAAGTTAGGCAAGGAAAAGGACCCCTCCTGCTTCCTAGAGGAGAGGAGCTGCAAAAGGAGGGGGGGGGGGTAGGGGCACGTTCCCTGGTCGTCCGGCCCGCCTGCCCGCCTTGGGCAGGGCCGAGGCTACAAAATCCGGTCCTGGGAAAAGGCCACCAGGGGGGAGGGAGAAGGAGCGCCATGGGAAACACCCAGGGCACACCTTCACAGCCGCAGTCGCCGGCGCCCTACACGATTACACGACCTAAGCAGAGATTTAATTCGAATCGCGTGTCAGTCTCCCCCTCTTCTTCTTCTTCTTCTTCTTCTTCTTCTTCTTCTTCTTCTTCTTCTTCTTCTTCTTCTTCTTCTTCTTCTTCATCATCATCATGTCACTGTGAAAAATTGTCGTACCGGGTACAGGAAAATTTTCCATGGAAGAAGTCGTACAAGTACAGTCTAAAATTGTACAATTTACTAGCCCTATGTATCGACTTGGAATCGAATATCGAGCGACAGCGGGAGGTTGTACATGTACGACTGGTATTGTTAATGGCAAATTACAAAATATATCGTACATGTACAAATATATTTCTCACAGTGGTTGAGTGTATCCCGGTTGTTATTTTGTACATTCTCTTTACCATTTTTTTTGTCGCAGGGTGGAGACCAGCATGACTTCTTGTCGGGGCAGCACCACTGGTACGCCTCTTCTCACGCTCGCCCAACCTACTGCAACGTGTGCCGCGATGCGCTGTCAGGTTAGTAACATTTTCAGAGAAATACGCTACTCGCCATTTCTAATCGTAAAACAAAGTCACAACTTTACACCCCCTGTGTCCTTAGTATGTACAGGTGTGTCATTAATTGAAATGCCTACTGTAGTTTTTCGAAGACTTTCGAACACCTGCACGATCAAACGGCGAGAAATTTTGCTGCCTCCATGCATTTTAACGCGTCTGGAGGTTCCAAAAGTTCACAGTGGTGTGAGGCTCTGTCTTTTTTCCTCCCAGTCAGTGGGGAGCCTTGGAAGTCCACCTAAAGTCAAAGGTCACTCTGAAGTGCGCGATCCAGAGTTGCAGCGTTTCGTTCGGCGCGCTCGCGGTCGGGTTTTCGGTGCGGCTGATGGGACTAGCCACGTGCCGCGCGCGCTGCAAGGGAACTGCTATTTGTTTGGAGCCGCGACACGTCACGGCGTGCCGTAAAACTGCAACATTGTCTGGCGGTCGGGGAGGCGAGGCCGTTTAGTGGAGCCGCGCCCGAGCCCAGCGCCGCCGGGACCGGCACGAGCTAGTTAAAGCCCTGCCGACCCGGGCTCCGGTACTCATCAGGAAAATGAGCTGTTTTAGAACTAAGTCACCCTAGACAAACTATAATTAGACGATACCCCACAAAAAGCCGTGAAGGTGCTGACAAAATGTTTCCGGTAGTTTTAACTCCTTTGCTTTGTAAAAGGTACTAAAACCTTAGCACCCTTTAGAGGAGTAACTAGAAACCCTTTTTCTGTGCCACTGGGAAGCTCTGTGAAAATAAGAGCACGAAAAATAGCGATTATCTCGTTCCCTCCCGCTCTCAACCTCTTTCGGTGGCGAGCAGCACCTGCATGCTCTCTGGTGAGGCTAGCGCGCCGGCGGCACGGGTGCGCTCGCGTTGCCTACCGCCCAGGCGCCTGCCGCGTGGGCCAGCCCGCGCGACACGGGTGCGCTCGCGTTGCCTACCGCCCAGGCGC